CATCGAGCTAGATTGGTCCTTCTATGCCTGAATTCACAACATCCAGTTCATATGATAATCTCCACACCCTGGCCTGACTCCAAGCTGAGTGCTGCTTCACCTGCACCACAATATCTCTGAGGCCCACATATCAGCCCCCCTCCCCCTGAGACACCCTCCAAAGTGATACCCACCATCTTTCAAGCCCACCCTGGCCCTGGCCCGACTCCAAGCTAAATGCTGCTTCACCTTTGCCACTATATCTTTGAGGCCGACATATGAGCCCTCCTCCCCCGAGACACACTCCAAGTGACACCTCACTGCCTTTCAAGCTCACCACTAGAGTTCTTCCACCCCCCAACTATCAATCCCAGTGAGGCTGCACAGGATTCAAATTGAGATGAAACCCTATTGGATGGCTGGTGAATAATTTCCACGAGAAAAAGATCAAGTAATCGCACCAACATGGCCCGAAACAATGCTGGAGCAGAAGAATGGAAAAATTCAGCCTCTAAAGAGGTGGAACCCAAAGAAACAGATTAGGCCAACCCCAGTGGACGAAAGCCTGTGTGGCACCACCCAAAGCCAGCTTGGAACCTCCTCCCAAACAACTTTGAATTCAAACAGATTCAAATTTTCACACGGAAATTACCCCTCATTGTCGGCCCTCCACCTTGATCAATATTTATGGTCCAATGGCCCAAGCACTGATCAACCAGCCATCAATCTGTGATATCCTCCCCTGGTGTGCGCTTCATCTCACCCTCTGTTGGTGCCCTTAGCTGATCATGGTGAGTCATCCGTTCGGCCAGAACAAAATCCAATGACAACAATACATAGATCCTCTCCCTCTTCGCACCTGTCCCCCCCCCCCCCCTTCCCCTCCCTCCCCCACTCCCCCATGTCACGTCGCCTTCACCCACCCCCCATCCAACACCAGCCACAAACCTGACTGTGGCCTTGTAGTCTCCCCACACCACCTGCGTGAAAGCGGCCACCCATTGTCTGCCACAAGCCGCTCCTACATGTTATGTGCCAGCTGACACCTCATCAGCCCCCTCGACACCCTATTGGTCATGCCCCTTCATTGGTATATCCCCAACGGCCTCCGGAAGAAGATACCCCAGCAGACAATACCTTCTAGACCCCATCCCACAGTGTGGCAAGGGACAAATCATCAAGAAGTGCCCATCAATCCTCAGTGTTTCAGACGCCCAATCACATAGAGACTTCTACTACCTAGTATCTCTGCTCCCCTTACAGCCCACAAGAACATGCATCATCATCATCATCCGAACCTTGTCCCAATTATTTGGGGTCAGATACAACAATCCTATTCCACCATTCCACTCTATCAAGGGCCGTACCCTCAGTCAGACCATAAGTCACCATATCTCTTCTCACCACTTCTATCCATATCCGTTTGGGTCTTTCCCTTGCCCTTTTAGATCATTCTACTTGAACCAAATCGCCCCTCTTACCCGGTGTTGTTCTAAGTCGATGTTGCACATGGCCAGCCCACCAAAGTCTACTTTTTCTCATCTTATCGACTATTGGAGCCACCACTAAATTCTCCCAAATGTATCCATTCCAAACTCTATCCTTTCTTGTCTTCCCATCTATCCATCTCAACATCCTCATCTCAGCTACAATCATTCTATAGATATATTCTTTCTTAACTGCCCAACATTTCGTGTTATAAAGCATGGCTGGTTTATAGTTGTCCTATAAAACTTCCCGTTCCGTTTCATTGCTATACGGCGATCATTTTAAATTAAATATATTATTCTTCAAAGGAAGGAAACAGAAACTACATAGCAGCATTTATATGTGGCATAACAAAATCTCCATCCCTAGTCTTTTCCAGCAAAATGGCATTCCTCCCCTGGTCCAGGCATTATGCTGTGGGTGGCAATAGTCTTGGCCACACTTTGGCTGTTGTGGAAAGAGCGGAATAATAGGATTTTTAGAGTGCTTTATTCTTTCGTGCCAAGGGTCAAGGAATCCATATTATCCTGGGTAGTTTTTGGGCGATCAACCATAGTCGGTTCAAGTCCTATCCTGCATCGGTGTTCCTTCCAAATTGGGCTTCGATCCTTCACCATCATCCCAAGCGCATTTCTCGCTCCTCCCTTTGGAGACCCCCAAGTAATGGGAGTGTCAAGCTAAATTTCGATGGTTGCTCCCTTGGCAACCCTAGCCCGTCGGGTATAAGGGCCATTTTTAGGAAGATGGAGGAAACCTCTATTTTCTCCTTCACCTTCCCCATCAGAATCTCAGACTCCATTACCGCAGAAGCTTGAGCTCTATTTGAGGTCAAAAAAATTTCAATCATGCTTGCAATGCATCTCTGGTGATTGAGGGAGACTCGAGGAATGTTATTTCTTGGGCCTCTCACGAGGCCACACCTCCATGGAGGCTTTTGCCCTCTTTGACAAAATTTTCGCAATTTGCAGGCTTATGCAGGTCTCTTGGACTCATACTTGGAGGAAGGCCAACCAAGTAGCCGACACCCTGGCTAAACACGGAGCTCCTTTAAATAGGACTTGAAGTTCTTTTATTGTACTCGGTGCTTTAAGTGTTTTGCACTAGTTCTGGACTAGCTTTGTTTAAGTTCGTTTGTTTTTCTCTCTTTTACCCACTGCTTGATGGTGCTTCCCCCTTGACGGGGTTTTGTAAATCGTACATCCTTTCCATCAATACAATGTTAACAGTATAAAAACAGAAAAAAACAAAATCTCGACTCCACCGATGTTTGTAACTCTTTATATAATTATTTGGCAAAAGCTAATTTCCAAAAGAAACTAAATACCAAAGAAACAGGCAAGCCCAAATATCTTTTCAAAATGACACTTTACGAAAAATATGACCAAATTCAGAATTGTCTCACACACATACCAACTAAACACTGTAATGCCCCTCTCTGTTACAAAGAAGACAGTTATCAGATCAATCATTAAAAGCAGTCATCAACTACAAATATTTAACAAAAGGTCAAATAAACCAACAAAAACCAAATCTTTCAAGCAACCCAATAATCTTCAAATTAGTAAGAACTTCAGAAGTTACCTTGTTGTCTATCTTAGAAAGCAAGCTCTGGATGGTGGCCTCCTTTGCTTTTTGTAGTTTCTCGTCTCTCTCAATCCGCAAGGTTTCTGCAGGGCACAGTCCCCAAGCAGAACTAGAAGCAGCATCTTCTACTCTGACTCCTAAGTCAACCATCGTATAATCTCGAAATTTATCACAAATTTGCATCAATTTTTCCTGCAGATATGCCCAGATCAAGCCACGACTGGAAATTATTAAGGTACATTTACATGAATACTAAATGAATATGGCATATTTTGGCTTGTACCTTGGTAGGACCCTCTCGAGCTGCAGTTCTCACTTCATCTCTAAGAGAAGATGCTGCATCTATGAAAGGCGTCTGCCAAGAGCCATTGACCTTAGTTCACACATCTCCATAACAAAACAAAACAGTAATACAGAAACACAGTTGCAATGAGGATTGTTATTTTATTTTGAATCAGAAGTTCCCTATCATTCATAAATGATCCTTTTCATGAAAGGAAATGACATTAACAGTTTTCCACTTATGGCAGCATAAAGTCCATAAGCTCTCAAACAATCATCAGAAAATGGTCGTTGGCCTAGATATCTGCTACATAATAGAATTTCATATCCAAAGCACTAGAACATTGAGAAAGCAATTTGATATAAGCAAATCGATGACATCAAAGAAATTATACCAATCACAACAGAACACAATCCCTTGCCAGTGCTCCAGTTTTAGGGTGTCATCATCAAGTAGGGTCCCGCTAGTAACTTCTTTAATAAGATTCTCCTATATCCACAATTCATGGCATGGGAATACCGAAAGTAGGACTATGTGACCAGGCAAGTCAATACCGATTAAAAAAAAATTATTATTTTTCTTATGTATTACCACCAGGATCACTTGTCTTAATACAATATATGAGCCAAGAAAAAAACAAAAGAATGCCAAAGACAATCACTTACTTTCCATCAAACCAAAAAATACGTTCATAACATGATTCTGAAAATTACATAAAAGATGCAATTATATCAAGAATGCATGAAACAAGAAAATACCACTTACCTTGCCTCATGTTACCCCTAAGGACTTCGTACACCCCACACCGGGTCTCCTCCACCAATGGCGCAGGGGATCTAAGTTCAAAATTTGTCTCACAACTTGAGAAGCCTAGGCAAAACCGGTAAAGAGTATGATATGGGATAAAACTAGATCAAGCCTCAATTCATGAGCATAAGGCTAGTACCTATTGGCTAGGCTTTGTGGCTTGGGCGTGCCACCCTTTAGGTTTCTTTTCTTTTCTAAACCCTAATCATAGAGAGATAAATCAAGAGAGATTAGAGAGGGTTGTGCCAACCCTTGGCTCAGAGAGAGAGAGATATGAAGTGTGTAGAGAATGTGGCCCCCATAGCTAGTTTATATAATATAAAGGCTAGGGTTTCTAGGGTTAGGGCTTTGCCATCGTTATGATACTTAATCTTGACCTTTGATCATCAAACCTGTGGTGTGAAGAGGTCTCATCCATTCATTCCTTAGATTAACCATCATGATTAAAAGAAATGAGGTGGAACCATTATCCCTCAATTTCCATAATTATATTCCTATCAAATATTATGTAGAGAAAATACTAAATCAAATTAATAAATATCTTACATTTTTCCCTTTTGAAATCAATCAAAATCTCTACACCAACTCCTTCAATATTCCAATCAATTGCATGCCTTATGACACAAGGCATAAAATAGGAAAGAGACAAAAAAAAGGTGGGGCAAACCACACTATGGGTGGCCATGTGGGCCCCACGCCCCAATAATTGGTGGGCCCAATGAATCCTAATGGTCCCCAATATATTAAATATAATTCACAGATATTAAAATAAATTTTATAATGTCATCAAATATTTTATTTCTCTCTGATTAAAATAAAACCAGACAATTGATTTTTCCTTATTCAAAAATTATTTTTCAATAAAATAAAATACCCTGAGAAGTCTAAAAATGCAATTTAATTATCTAAAAAATAATTAAAACATTCAAACATATCCAAAACGATGGGAATTGGATCCATAGAGTTAGGATTACAACAAATATAATGAGGACTCCATCCTTTCTATAGACCGTACCTCACTTCATCTTTTCAAACTAGACCAATAATTCACATCGCCCATAGCCCTTTGCAGGGGTTCATGATTGGACTATCGATGTCAGCCAATTAAATGAATGAGACACTATCCTACTCCATGGATTACACGTCCCTCCCTGAGGACAAATCCAAGCCCCATTGTAGCACGACACTCCATGGGTCCTTCCAACACACCCAGTCCAGTATTGCAGGAGTCATCTCTTCAGCACATGTACACAAAACACACCCTTATCCAAAAGGATCGCTTCCTAGACAGCTATCTAGTATACATGTCATGTGGTAATGATGAGGATTTAGGCCCTTGTCCTCTCAAGCCAACCATCACACATAAGAGTCACATCCAGTTCCCCTGGCCAACTGCCCTAGGCATGACTCTGACCTCATCAAGGGGTAGCCCCATATCGAAACCCTTATTGGTTGTGCTCACAATGCCCAGGGCTACTAGTTTTTAGACCTCACATTGAGACATAGCCAGTCAAAGCTCAAGTGAGTCCTGGCATTAGCAATGCCTCACAGTCCAATGTGGACCACACTCCCACTAGAGTTGCCATGCCACTATAATAATTTCAATACACGCTCTCATAAGGCCTTTAAATAGCCAACATAACCCCAACAAGTACCATGGCCAAAGAAGAAATTAACTTCTACAAAATTAGATCAGAACAGCCATTTTTTCAGTTCGACGACCAGACTACTTGTTATAATTGATCATGGTCAACTCCAATCCCAAGATACCACACTAGACTTCCAGCAAGAAAATCTGCCTCAGACCTTGTTGAGGATCAGTTTTCAATAATGGTGTTTGAGCATATCCACCACGAAAGCTAAAAGTAAAAAAGTAGTTAAGACTGTACCAAGAAGCCATGTATCACTTTAACAAAACCCACACTTCCATCTCAGACCATTGAACCCAAGTTTTTTATTTCTATAGACTCAATTTCTGAACATAATTTTCTCAAACCATGATGAAAATAATCTTAAAACCTGGACGAAGACTCAACAACAGTTATGGCCTAGAAAAATGACAGATATGATCTCTGTACCACACTTAAGACAAACCCAAATGAAGTGCACTTCCAAGAAGCTTATTGAAAACACTGCCTTAATTACAAAAAGCAAAGGCAATGCCGGATCTGTAAATCAAAACCTCAAGAACATAGGATCTAACTTTGAGAACACCTATTATCATCATCGTAAGTAACCCTAAACAGTCCATAATCATGATGAAGAAAAATGTAATAAATGTAGAAAAGCTCATCCTAACTAACTTGTATAAGGGAAGGGAAATTCCCGCACATGATAATAGGATTCTGCCAAATCCAAGTTAGATATATTCCCCAGCTTCTCTGTTCTAAATCTAAAATTCAAAAACTCATGGGCAACAATAAGTTGTCTGCCCAAAAGTTGTCTAAAATTCCCCACCACTACTTACCAAGAAGGGAATTGTTGCAGTCTTTAAGTTTCCCGATGCCAACCAATCAGGTTTGCAAACAGCATCCCTACTTAATGGGTGAAATTTATGTGCCCCTCCCGGTCCTAACCAGAGATCTCCCATCAAGTTCTCTTGCCTGCTAGGGATGTATAAATAGCATCCTAAAGAGACGTCTAAAACACCAGGATATTGGATAATAGGATTGGATTTCTATGGCGCTAATCTTCACTAAATCGCTTTGGCCACACCATCCCATAGTGCATTTCTTTGTTTGCCTAAGTATAGGGGGATGCCTAGGCACTCATTAGATAATGACTCAGTCCAACCCAACATTTGGTCAGAAATTATTTGGGATTGGGCCAGATACAAAAACCTAGGAGTATGGGTTTTGCCAGGTTTATCTTAAGATCTGTGGACACTTTGAAGAACCTGAGAAACAGCCATAAATTTATCAACACGATGGAGGCTGGCATCACAAAATACGAAGGTGTCAACAACATACTGTAGGTGAAATAGGCTGGCCCACCTTCTGGTGTTGAAAGCCTTAACAAAATTCCTAATGTATGGGTTTGAGATAGATTCGACATAAGAGATCCTATAATACCAAACAAGAAAGGGGACAGGGGCACAGAGGCCTCTCAACCGTTTTCTAGCATGGAAGCATTCATGTGCTATCATGGCTGCATCCAGGATATGGAGATCCAGAAAGAAGCTTCTTTGGTTAGAGAAATGACATGGCTCACCATCTAGTGGAAGCAAGAATCCTATACTTTGGAAAGGATCTTGTACGAGATATTTACAAGATTGATCAGTCAAAGTCTCAGTTCTGCTGCAACTTCTAGTTCAGGAACCAAGGATATGAATGTGGAATTCAACCCCCTGTGAATTTACCATATGATGGTATCCCAAGAAGAATACAAGGACATTTTGGGCTACCGTCTCCCAAAACCCATCCAGGTTTGGAGCCTTGTCAAGGCACAGGACAGCCACTCTTCAGATCTCTGATTCATTGGACGGACATTAAAACTCTGGCTGTGCCTAGGTAAGGTCTCGAATTTCACAGTATGGATACTCGGCCTTACGGGATGTGACAGCAAAAAGGCTTTGAAACTATTGACTTATAACCCTGATTACTTCAGGAGGCTCACCAAAGATTCTATCACCATCTTTGAAATAAATATTGCATTGGATATACCACAGTTTCCTGTCATATGGAAGAATGTCCTGTTCACATCACCTACCATAAGCCATTTTATACTAGATCTTTGATAAGAGATCTCTTGCTTAAGGACTTATGCAATTCTAATTTGGCCTCTAGCCTCCTCCACATTCTTCAGGAAGCAGATCTATAGGTTCTTCTACCAGGTCGGGCACACTGATCTCCTGGAGAAGGCCATCTTTTATTTATTTGTTTTTCTTTCTAGGAAATCATCATGGTTTACTCCATAGTTTCTGCTTGACCTAAAGACGTTAAAGCTTTCTCGACAGCCTAAACCAGCCAACCCTTACACTCTAGAAATGGCCCTCCACAGGGGAATAAGTTGATGGAGCTCATTGTCCTCGAGTTGCATCATCTTGTTTGAATGGTCTTTAGCCACTGAGGACAGGTTCAGTGACTAAGAAGATGGGGTATGGTTTCATGTTCGTTTCTGTAAAATTTCTAGAATGAAACTCCTGGACATTGCCTTCCCAATCAAGGGAATAGGGAATCTATCAAGCTTGGAAAGGGTGGGACTGATAGAGAGCTTGGACTCAGTATAGGAGACTCCATTGAGGACGATGTCAATAAGGTTTTTTCTGAAAACTAAGTCAAAAAATCTAGTCACACTGGCTGTATCATACCTGTTCTTCTAGAAAGTCCACCCAGTGACAAAATCACTGCCTAAGCACCAGGGAAGGGGAGTAGTGGGAGCAACAGAGTTACGTTCAGCCTAGAACACTTCTCTGAGGTTCGGTCTGTTGGGTCCGTATACCCCAGTGAATTTCCCAATGAAATTGTCTGAAAGGTTTAATAGAAATAGAAAAACAGTGTAAGGTGCAAGAGGCAAAAAAATCAGCAAGCCTTGCTGGGTCCCAAATGACTGAGATCCTGCCCAAGCCCAAGTCCCCCATGGGTGGGTGGGCTTCCCATTGTCAAGGTCGTCTGCCCCAGATTTGATGTACTAAAGAAGGATTTGAGGATTCAAGCTTGGTTTCCATCAGAGCAAGGAGATCAAGGAGGTCCATGTGCGTAAAACCATGGACAGTGTTTTTCTTGGTGGTGTCTTCCGGGCCTATCACATGCCAAATAAGGATTTTAGTTTGGGGGGTAGATTAGGGGTTTTGATGGTGCTTTGGAGCACCTGCGAATATATTCCTCTGAGCAGGAAGAACTTGAGGCATGAGAGGTAGAAGCCAAGGTTTCAGGTCTCTCAAAGAGTTATAACTTAATATCACAGGAGAGATTTTTGAGCTTCTGAAGCCTTTACCTTTAGCCATGCTTCAGAAGATCTCACTGACATCGCTGGCAAGACGATCATATGAAAAGGCATGACAAAGAAAATTTCATCGATGTTTCCCTCTATCTATCCTCTGAATCTCCTCAGAGTCCACTGTAAAGAAGGATACACATCCGATTGTCGTGTCTCGAGGAGGCTCTCCAAGGCACTCTAAGGTGAGAGCTAAAGGGCAAGGCATCAGTCAAATGTGGGATGTTTTGGAGTAAAAGAGAGATATTTTTGTTATGCTTGCTAATGTTGCTTCAATTTGCATGTTTATCTAGTATCTCAAAAATTTTGTGCATGGATATGCTGCAATTCTCTAATTCCCAAAAGCATATTTGGGTCATATTGTCCAGGACATGCATCTCAAAAGATTGCTTCATGACCTCATTCAGATTTTTCCTCAAGCTTAACTAGTTTTATTACAATCCCTTGTCCATAAATCATTTATGAATGCATCATCCCTTGTCTTAAAACATCATGACTTGTTGGACATGCTTAACGACATAACAGGACCACCCATACTTGTTTAAGGCACGCACAAGCTTTTTAAGTTTATTAAAATATAGTTGATTTCTTGCATAAGGATCAAGGTCACTTGGACACTTGTCTAGTACTTTTTTAGCATGCCAAACATGGTTGTTAGGATCGGGAGCAAGGGATCACAAAAGGCTATAAGATCCTTATGTTTGGGAGCAGCATCCGTACTATGCATTTATTAGAAGGAAATATACACAATAAGACCATTTATCTTATGTATAAGGAGGTCACAGCCATTTCTGGCAGTTAGATTTTGAAATCAAAGGCTGACAGTGTGCAATTGATCAAGCTCAAAGTTCAAAGAAATTTTTTTTGAACTCCGTGACTTACTTTAAGCTGTCCGATTTGACATTGATGCTTAGCATTAGTTGTGACTTCCTTAATCAAAATATAGATAGTATTATATGCATATAATCCCATATTATAAATCAAGAACCCCAAATATTAGAGATCTAACTCCCAACCTTTTGGGGATCATGCTCCCTATCTTAAAGTGTCTAGAACTATAGGTAATCTTTTCACGTAGGAATCTCGTTATTTATAGCTAACAAGCAACACAACCATATTGCAAGTGAAGTTGCATTGCTAGTTGGCAATAAAATAAAATAAAAAAAAGTCATCAGTTTGGTCGTTATTTTCCCTCACAGTGGGGATAGATCTCCCAAAACTAAAAAACCAAGATCCCTTTCCCGAAACATGGAAGCTCCATGCAAGATTCCAAAGAGGGGGCCACCTACGATGAGAGATCCCAACTTCTAGGTGTCAACACCTTAGGACAGACCCATGTGTCAACATGCCCTCTAAGAGTAACACTTAGTGTGCCGCAAGAACATGTCTGCTCAAATGTTGGATATCGTGTTCCGAATTTAGAACACATCCAAACTTCAGATCTATACCCAGTATTTAGGTATTTGCTTTCAAAACTATGAATATACATGTCTAGACTATGGGCATGGGTGTCCAAAAATTGGACACGCATACACTTATGTTCTCATCATTTCGGAGTTCATATAATAACATGATATAAGAACATGAATACCATTAGCAACCCATCAGCATGTCCATCCTACATGGAAAGAGTCCTGCCCAATGTTAAAGCCCACTAGGAGCCATGTCAAAAACATATTCATCTCAAACATCAATGCATGGTTCACTGTCCTTGAAATGTGGATATTTGACAATCGTATCTTATTCAATCATATACCAATTCAAGGTGAAATTCCAGAACATAGTTTGTACTCTGTTGAAGGATATTTCAATATTATTAGGTGAATAAGGCCTTGGGATGGTTATTGCATTTTCCCTTTCGCCTGGTCTGTACAGACCTCTTTTTAGGCTTCTTGTCTCCCTTAAGGACCAAGGAGTCTGACAATTTTCGTCCTGAGGAAGGTTTTCCTCAGCATACCCTCATTCAGGGTAAGACAGAAAATTTATGTTGATTGATATTTTTGACAAGAAATTGTCAGAACATTTTTTACAAGCAATTGTCAAAATATTTTTTACAAAATACAAGAATTACATTGGATAACTGCACAATCTAAGTACTCATACCCTTCCACTTATGAACTTTTACTGCAAACCACCCAGTCATTAGAGATTTACACCTCACTTTATACAAAGTTCCCACCGCAGTCCATCTTGAAATCTTTGTAAAGGAACAACTTCTAGACACATTAAGAAAAGAAAAAAAATTACAAAATTCAAGATATTTTACTTGGAGACTGCTATAGGACAATGCAACAAAGCAGCATAAATATTACACACGATATAACATTGAATAACACCAAACTCACCACCAAGGCTTCAACACTCTCAGAGCCAAGGGTAGTTTCACTCCCATAAGTTGAAGATAATCCTGCAATGTAATAAATAAAAACGATCACATACATAATAACAGTAAACATAGGATAAAGAAATAATCCATCAAGAAGAAACATGAGTGCAACAATTAGATTACAATTGAATGCGCACTATATCTGTTCAAAATGTGGCAAGATAAAATCTCTTCCTCAAAGAGTCAAGATATTGGCATTCTAAAATACCATACAGAAGTACACGTGAAAGAAATATTGAGTATCACATGAATCAAGAAACTAACTACTTCAAACAAGAACAAAAACATTAAAAAACCATGACTGAAAATCCCAACAGTCCTGAAGCAATTTTTATTCAAGAAGCCATTAAAGTTCACATTCTCAGCTCAATCAGTAGGAATGGATTTTACCAAGCATGTAAGTGTTTCTACAAGCAATAATAGTCCGGGATAAAGTTGCATATCAATGATATTCCCAACACCTGTACGTTTTCTCTGAAATTTCAAAAACTAACAAGGCATATAGCAGGATACTACTCTTCAAAATACATTATAAAAGAAAAGGGACTGGAAAATCTTATTAGAAATGCATCTCAGAATATGGTGTGTAATAATTCTAAACATCAATCACTCACATTTGTCGTCGTACATGAAAAAAACTAAATTATCAAACAAGTTCTAGTTGTTGGCCTAAAATGTATATAATAATAATAACAATACTAATAATAACAATAATAATAATAATAACAATAATAATCAACGTCATCATATCATCCGAGCCATATCCCACTATTTGGGGTCTACATGAATCCCATTCAGCCATTCTACTCTATCAAGGGTCGTGCCCTCAGTAAGACCATAAGTCACCATATCTCTTCTCTATCCATGTCTTTTTGAGCTTTCCCAATTCCCTTTTAGAGCCTTCAACTTGAACGAATTTGCCCTACTTAACCAGTGTTGTATTAAGTCTACATTGCACATAACCAACTACTTAAGTCTACTTTCCCTCATCTTATCGCCTATTGGAGCCACCCCTAAGTTCCCTCGTATGTATTCATTCTGAATTCCATCCTTTTTGGTCTTGCCACTCATCCATCTCAATATCCTCATCTCAGCTACACTCATCCAATGGATATGTTGCATTGATTCAAAAAGCGGACCGCCCAGCACCTAAGCGGCCAAAGTGGGCGGCCGACCCTGGCCTGCGCCCCGCCCAAGGGCGGAATTTTTTTTTTTTAAGTTGTATTGGTTTTTTTTCTGAAATATAAAAGGTTTGAAGGATGGGTTTTAGGTTCATTTCAAACCTAAACCCACAATAACCTATTTTAGAGAGAAAGAAACCTCAAGAAAACTAAATTTTGTGGCTTTCATTGGATCGAAGTGCTTCTCAAAGTCACGGAGAACGGATCCAAACATCACCCAAGTAGATTTGATTTAGTTTT